CAGCCGTGTTCAGCATCACGGGCTGCTCCTCCGTGAGTCTCTAGGCACACAGACCCCCATGCAACCTCCATCGGCAGATGACAAGGGCCATTTTGCTTAGAGCCCCACTCAAACATGATATCACCGCACTAGGTAAATTCTGCCAATGGCTGAAAAAAAAGTTATTTCAATTAATTTGCATTCCCCTGATTTTTAGCATCCTCCCCTGTATGCACCGGCCACCTGCATTTTCTCTTCTGTGAACCGACGGCCTGCCTGTCTTTGCTCGGTTTTCTGTCCCTGGAGGCCACCAGCTCTGGCCCTCCTGTCAGCTGTGTGCTGCGGGAGGCTTCTCGTCTGCGCGGTCGAACACCTTCTCACGGATGCCACACAACATTTCTTTGGCTTTCAGTGGTGGTCCTTTGGCTTTTGGTGATGGGCACTGGGGGGCAGTGATTCACATCTGTGCTTTGGTCAAGCCATCACAGAGTACATGATTCATGCTATTTTTCAAAATCTGTCCTATAAAAGCCTATGTAACGAACTCCTCTGGGGTCTCAGAAATTGTCATAACAATATCCATTACATATGACGTGTGAAATTCTCTCTCTCTCTTTTTTTTAAAATTTTATTTATTTATTTGACAGAGATCACAAGTAGGCAGAGAGCGAGAGGGGGAAGCAGGCTCCCTGCTGAGCAGAGAGCCCGATGCGGGGCTTGGTCCCAGGACCCTGAGATCATGACCTGAGCCGAAGGCAGAGGCTTTAACCCACTGAGCCACCGATCAGAATATTCTGAAACGTTTTACTAATCTCAGGACACTCCCTTGGTCACTGCTTATATTTCCAAATTTGCGAAGGTCAGAACTTTTACAGAAAAGTTTTCTATGCATCTTTAAAAGACTCAATCTACAGTCCAAGGTAGAATTCCTGCTTTCCCGCTACTTGGTGTATGTGCTTCTCTTGTGTGTGTGTATGTGTGTGTGTGTGTTCCCTCTTTTAGGGTCTGTAGATTGCTCCGATTTCTGATTTTACTCTCTGCCCATTTCATGCTCAACTGTATGTCCTTACGTGGAGGAAGAGGCAGTAAAGCGTGTAAGCAAACCCGTGACCTTCAGAAAAAGGAACTGGGTGTGGGCCACAGCTCTGCTCCTCACTAGCTGTGTGATTTTCAGTTTCTTAACCTGTAAGATGGGACTGTGGCCACACCTCCCACTGCTGGGGTGTCATGAGGCTTCAAAGGTCCAGCACGGGTGCAGAGCCCAGGATGCTGGCCGGTGAGTAGCACAGCTCAGTAGCCATCAGCTGCTGCTAAGAATAAACAGACACGCGCTTCCGGAAGGCGATTTGCCCGTGTGGACAGCACCTGCCTGAGCTAACGTATTACAGAACGAACGTCACGGTCCACGTGAAAAGCACATACTCCATGCAGGAGCTTTTAGGGCCGGAGCACTTGTGCATGTGGCTCCCCACCCCGCCACGTCCGTGGTCTGGGGTGTGTTTGGGGTGGACACTGCTGGGCCCCCCCCTATGCCGTATACACCTATTTAAAATTCATCTGGGACTTTGGTGAGGTCTGGACTACAGGTGGGTTACTCTGAGGCCCTCGAAGAAAAGGCTCTGATCAGCGGACACAACAGACCCCTCCCCTCCACCCTCCTTCCCACCAGCTCTGAACTGCAGCCCCAGGTCCCACTGAGCGCCTGGCTGTGAGGGCGGACCTCCTGCCCCTCCTCCTGCCCCCTGTCCTGCCTCCACAGGCAAGAGACCAGAGGTTTCCCAGGGGGGATGCCCTGACCTCGCCCGTCCCCTGCTGCCATTTGTCACAGACCTTGGGAATCTGCACTTTGCTCCTGCAAATATCTCATCTACCCAGGGCATCCCACTTTCTTAGAGCAAACATTAAAAGCTCTTATAGGGATTAAAAAAAAAAAATTCAAAACCAATGCTCCGTTTGATAAAAATAGAAATCTCTCAAGTGTCAGATGTCTGATGGAAGTCACTTTCTATAGCAAGTCTTAATTTCCTCCGGCTTTGTTTTCAGAGCATTTTATCTCCAAACAAAATTCTGCGAGGCCCCAGCCTGACCGGGTGTCCAGCCATAGTTTTACAGAAATAGTCTACACTGAATTTTTCAATGAGGCTTTTTTTTTAATTTGAAAACTCTTTCATGTCAGTAATTAAAATAATTAAACAATATATGATGATATAAAATAAATAAGTAATCTCCTTTGGCATTACTCCCTACTGCTCACAGTTTATTCTATACCTTTCTAGAAGTCAGTCTTCCAAACACCTAGATGTATAAACATGCACAGACATCTCTAGATACTTCTCGCTCACTCAAGATATTTATGGATATCTTACACGTAAACATGCATTGTATGCCAAGCACCATTCTAATTGTTACTCATCCATTGAAACCTTTGACCTATACATCAACCTTATGAGTTAGTACTATTATTTTTCTCATTCTCCAAAGGAGGATGTTAAGGTCTGCATGGGCCAGTGACTTACCAGGGTCACAGCTAGTAAGTGGTGATGCTGGAATCTGGACCCGGGCCATCTCAGCTGAGCACCGACTTACCTACAACACTCCTGGCCTTCAATTTGCACATTTGGAAAATATATATATATATTTTTTTCCCCAAATGTGCAAATATATATATATATATGTATTTATCAATATCATATATATGTATATGATATTGTTCCCTGTCGGTACACATATTAAACATTTTAAGGAGGGGGATAAGAATTTAAATAATATTGAGCTATTTTTAAAGTTGTTTTAAATACCATTTATTTCCTTTGTGGAGAATAAATTGTTCTTGGTTAGAACAGTCTATTCCTATCAAGTCCTACTTCTAGATGAGCTCTAGAGAACATTTCCTGTTCCAGTTCCACGTTCCTTTCATCTGTGTCATGATGGCTACATAGTATTCTACCAAGTGAAAATCCTGTTACTTTCTTTACTCTATTGAGAAATAAATCCTTCCCTGTTGCAAGATCTGTCCTATGCATCTTGGCGCAGGAGGCTTTGGGTCAAAACACAAGTAAATGGAGATTTTAAGATAGGTTGATTTCCTCCCGTAGGGTTACATAGACTTACACTCCTGTTCGCAGTGTATAAAAACATTTGTTTCTCTATACACTTGCCAACACAGGGAATTAACAAATCTCTTGCTATCTACACATCAGATAGCTGTGAATGTGCTCCCTCGTTTTAATTACAAATTCCCTAGCTACGAAGGGGTTCTGCATCTTTTCATGTCTCCATTAGCCACGTTAATTTAGTTTTCTGCCTGGTATCTGTTCATTTCTGAAGCATTTGTTTTGTCTGTTGGGTTGTTTGAAAATTTCCTAATAATTTATAACAGCACTTTATACACGGAAAAAAAAAACCACTTTCAGTCAAAGTATGGCCCAATTTTGCCTTTAAACCATTGCCTAACATTTTGTGGCATTTTCGATGTGCTTAAGTTTTTTTAAAGATTTTATTTATTTATTTGTCAGGGAGGGCACAAGCGTGGGGTGAGTGTTAGACAGAGGGAGAAGTAGGCTGCCCACCGAGCCGGGAGCCTGATGCAGGGCTCAATTCCAGGACCCTGAGCCAAAGGCAAACACTTCACCGACTGAGCCACCCAGGTGTCCCATGCTACTTTTTTTTAATGTGGTTATGTTATTGGTCCTTTTTTTTTTATGGCTCCTAGGAACACCCACATGTCTCTTCGCTTGCCCATCACAATGGCACACAGAGACACGAATTATTGTCCCATTTCCCCTTGGAGGAAACTGAGGCTCCGGGTTAAGTGACTTGCCCAAAACCACACAGCCACTACTGGAGGAAGCTGGGTCCAGAGTCTGGGACCCCCTAATTCCCCACGCCCGGCTTCTTTACAACCCAGCAGCCCATCACATCCTCCGAAAAGGGTTTCCAAGCCGTCCTTTTTTTCCAAACAGTCCTTTTGTTTACGCCATTTTTCAAACCTTTAAATGAAATGATAAGCAAACAAACAGAAATAGACCTCAGTGAGGACCTTTTCAAATTTATTTAGTTGGTTATAGAAGAGGAGGAAACCGAGACTGCCCTAGCCATTCACGCACAGGGGATGGGACCCCACAAGCTCCCCAAGACTGGGGACATCTGCTCCCAGAGAAGCCTGTACTTCTTAGCCGGAGCCCAGCTCTCCCCCAGATGTCTGGGCATCTCAGCCTCCCGGACACCCCCACTGAGGTCTTTCAGGCCCTACTGGCCACAAACTAAAGAGAACAAACCGAGGGTTGATGGAGGGAGGTGGGCAGGGGCGGGGCTAGATGGGGGACGGGCATTAAGGAAGGCACTTGTGATGAGCACTGGATGTCCTGTGTAGCGATGAGCCCTGAATTCTACTCCTGAAACCAGTCTTGCACTGGGAAGTTAACTAACCAGAATGTGAGTAAAAATTAAAACAATAAATGTGCCCAGTACTGGACGCGCCAGGTGTCCACTCCGCCGGGCCACCAGGGGCTCAGGCCGCAGGACGGGCCACCGAGCTGCCCGCTGCCGCAGCCCCCAGGTCACTGGCACAGACCTCAGGATCCCACCCGGTGGGCACTGCCGAGGAGCCCTCCGCTGCCCGCTGCCCGCCGCCGCCGCCGTCCGCGCTGCAGGCCCCACCGCCTCCCCCCACTCCCCGCGCCCCTCCTGCGCCCCCCAGGTCATTCCTGGCCCTGCGACAGGCCTCTGGGCGATCGGAGCGGAAGTCCCCGCTCCCGGCCGCCTCTGCCACCCGGACACCCACCCCGCCCCTCCTTCGCCGCGCGGGGCCCCTCCCAGGCCGGAGGCGGACCCCGCAGGTCTGCACCGCCCGCCCAGGACCGCCCTGCCCGGCCCGGCCTTCTCCCGTCCTGCCAGTCTCGGGGCGGGGCGGGGCCCGCCTGCCCGCCGGGGCCAATCCGAGGCGCGGGGCGGGACAGGAGCTGTGGCTCCGCCCCCGGGGCAGGGCGCCGCGGCCTCCCGGACCCGGACCCAAACCCAGAGCCAACCTAGGCCACAGCACGGCCCGGCTGGGATCCCGTAACCGCGGGGACCGCTTGGCGCGATGGACCCAACGCTGGCCGCGCAGATGAGCGAGGCGGTGGCGGAGAAGGTGCTCCAGTACCGGCGGGACGAGTCAGGATGGAAGATTTGCCGGGAAGCCGTGAGTGCGGAGCGGGGCAGGAAGGGGTGGCGTGCTCCCTGGGGCTGGGGTCTCCAAAGACCCCAGGCTCCTCCTCTTCCTGCCCCTTTCTGCTCTCCAGTACCCTGGAGCTGGATAGGGTGGGGGTAGATTCCACTGAGGGTCGATTCCTTAAAAAACCCTGGACCTGTTTGCACCGTGACCCCGGGAGATGCCGATCTGTCCCTTTCAGTGAGTGACTTGCGCAAGGTCACTTGGCCAGCAGACGGTGGTTAGGCTCCAGAGCCTGCCCTCTTCTTGGCCGGAGCCTCTCCCCATCCCCAGGAGGGTGGCATGGGCATAGTTTTGCTTCTGCCAGGCTTCTGATTTTTAACAAATAGATGGAAATTGCTTGAGGAGACAAATGGCATGGTGGCTTTTAGGAGGTTTGAAAATCACCCCAAGCTCTTGGAATCAGCCAGTTCAGAACCCCTGCTCCACCACGTTCTGCGGAGGGAAAGCTCGATCCAAGACCAACCCCTGCCCTGCCACACAGGAGTTGGTCAGCGTGGAGCAGCCCATCTCTTGAGGCTGCAGATTCTTCTGTAGCGCAGGGGACTGGGTCAGGTGACCTCCCAGAGCCTTTCTAGCTCTAAATTCTACGATTCTGTGCCTTTTGACAGAATGGAGTGTCAGTTTCCTGGAGGCCATCTGTGGAGTTTTCAGGGAACCTGTAAGTGCCTGCCTCGCCCAAGTTTGTGAGAGGGGCCACTCCCTTCTTGATGTCTCTGTGGGTTTGCTTCCTAAAATCATGCCGATCTGCCCTAGCACCCTGGAATCCACTTGCCGGTTATCGTCCAGAAAAGCCTCTGTTGTCATGTGAATCCTTTCCAGCAGGCTGTATCTCGTGAATGCTTCCGGTCCGCTTTGGCAGGTGTGGCGGGGGGAGGCTGGTTCACTCGTAGCCCCGGACCGCAAGGCTGTCTTCAAAGAGCAGGGACAGGTGTGACGTCTAGTCCTTGCCTCTGATCCCAGGATCAGAAGCTTGGGTGGATGCCCGGGCTCACGTTCCTTCTCGTGCTGCAGGTACCGGGGAGAAGGCATCGTGAACGCGCCCCCGGAGAAGGTGTGGGTCTGCATCAAGCCGCTTCCTGGGACCCTTCGGGCCAAGTGGGATGAGAACGTGAGCAGCTTTGAAATTATCGAAAGCCTCACTGATGTAAGTCTTTCCAAGCATGGTCACCCTAGGGGGTCGGGGACACCTTTTGGCAAGGGCAGCACCCCGCATGGCCCCGGTACCGTGGCAGACACGGGCTGCCCGCTGCTTGCCATGCTCAGGCCCAACCTTGGCCCCGGGCGCAGGTGGGAAACCGTGTGACCAGATGAGGGGAGACGCCCTAAGCCGTCAGAGAAATGGTAAGATCAACAGCACTGGTCAAGGCCGGCGGCGTGAACGTGCTCTGAGGTCACTAAAGCCTAGACTCGTCAGCTCGGGTTTGAAATGGTGCCCCTCGATGGGGCTGTGATAATGAGTCCAGAGCCGCAGAGTCAGAGTCAGGACCTGCCTCGCCGGGTAGCCTCCCTGGATTACAGTTTCTCCGCTGGTGCCAGTGTATGTCATCCAAGCTCGAGAGGCCCGGGAAGAACTTTCTAGAATAATGGAAATGTTCTGTCAACCCTGTCCACTACAGTAGCCCCAGGGCCCCATGGGGCCACAGAGCACTCGAAAGGTGTCTCGTTGGAGGAAACGAGTTGTTCATTTTATTTACTTTTTATTACTCTCGGGGTAAATTTAAACAGACACGGGGAGCTAGTGGCTATCGTATTAGCGCAATTCTAGATGCTTCTGTCTGAAGAACAGTAAGCATTAGGAACTTGCAGTGTGAAGAACCCAACTCATTTGATTACAGAAGTTAGGAAGGGGGGTGGGGAGTCATAGCCAGAACTAATAATAAAGTTGCCCTGGGGGAAAGTTGCCAGTCCGATAGTTCTGAGGTGTGTAGACATGATGCCCTCTTGCCTGTTTACACAGATGGTGTTTGCAACCTCGCTCCACAGTTCTGTGCTGGTCCATCTGGACGATCCAGGTGCTCTTGGCCTGGCCCAGAATTCACATTTGAGTTCATGGTCTAGAGTTTATATGGGTGTTTCCTGAAGGGTGGGGCACACACCCCTGAGATATGAGGTTGTTAGGCAAACACTGACCTTGAATCATGCATGGTGATGTCACCGGGATTCAGTTCTTTTCTAATTCCTCTCAGAGCTTGAAGGGGAGAGTTTCAGTTCGGTCCCTGTGACACCCATTTAACACTTGCTAATCTTTATAACAAAACCCGATGATCTCAGCCTCAGAATCAGAATTAGAAGCAACAATCCTTTGTGTGTATATTTTACAGATAAGTAGCTTCCTTTTAAAATAAATTTATCCAAGTTTATGAAAGTGAGTACATTTGGATAAAAATATTGTGAACAGCGATGTAGGAGCCACCAGAGAGAGTAAAAAAAATGAGGAAGCCGGTAAATAAATAGACACCTATGCCTCGAGTTGGGAAACCAGGGGCTAGTGGCGTTTACAACAGAACCCAGATGTGACAGAATGACCGGTTATGGAGTTTTCTTGAAGGTCACAGGGGCTGCATTTCTGTGGGCTGTTTAGACTTGGAAGTTGGGGGAGGTAAGGAAAAAGGGAGGCATCCAAAAGGGCTTTCATAGGCTGGGATCCTGGAGGCTTGGCTCTGACCAAGCTAAGGTTTTTTAGCCTCTCACAAATAGTGGCAAGTTTCCTGGAGGAATGTCGCACACACCCACCCAGGAGGGGCGTGGGGGAGGTTGCTGGTGGTCAGCTCAGGCTTTGTCCTCTGCTAGCCTTCTGCTCCCTCATCAGTGCCACAGGGTCTCTCTCTGAGCACCCTGGTTCTTCCTGGAAAGGCATGTCTGCTTCCCTGCCTGGGGCCCGCATGGACCCTCGGTCTTTGGCGGATGGCTGAGCCAATGTGGGCCCAAAGCAGCCCCCACCACCTACCCCCTCCCCCTTCCCTGCCTGACCCTATCAATCCCGTCCTGCAAGTTTTCAAATGTTTTGCGCGCACGCCTCCAGCAGAGTTCCGAGAAATTCTACATCATCCCCATATGTCCACTTGATGCCAAACATTTCGTTAACCTCTAAAATTTTCATCATAAATTGCAAAGCAGAGCATATTTTTTTAAGATTTTATTTATTTATTTGACAGACGAACGAGAGAGGGAGCACAAGCAGGGGGAGAGGGAGAGGGAGAAGCAGGCTTCCCACCGAGCAGGGATCCCAGTGCGGGGCTGGATCCCAGGACCCTGAGAACACGACCTGAATTGAAGGCAGACGCTTAACCGACTGAGCCACCCAGGCGGCCCTAGAAGCGTGGTATTTTTACATGGGATAAATCAGACAGTTTTAGGCAAAACAAGGACATCATTCTTTCCGATGCATCTGCATGACATGAAGTTTTATTTACTATCATTTATTTTAAAAGTATGTTGATGCGATATGGGCCAGGAGTGAACGGTGTAGAAAGAATTCTTGAGACATGTTAGGTGCAGAAAGGCACTTTTTTTAAAGCACAGGGACGGGCCCGTGGGCAGAGAGATCTGCTCTGGGAGTGAGAGGAACCACTGATTATACAGTTTTAATTTGGGGTGGGTAGAGGTAAACGAAATTTCCAGAAGGGTTTTCATATGCTAAAGAAGACTTCCAGGATCCTGGAGGCCTAGCTGTGGTCAAGCTAAGGTTGCTTTTTGCCTCTAGCAAGGCAGTCCTGAGTTCTTGCAGGGGTATCTTTCCCGACTCAAGTATTTGTCATTCATCTTCAAGCTGTAAGGAAATTTAATTTTATCTACTTTCTTTTGCCTTTGTTCTCCTCATCACACATGAACACTTTTTCCTGAAACAAAAGTTTTGTATTATTTTTTTTCTTGAACTCGTTTCTCCATTGCTTGCGGGCTACGGAATTTCACCCTAATATATTTATGCTTCAAAGACATCATCCTTCATTAATATGGCTATAATTATATGTACATCATACATCTCCTGGAACTGTGTGTTAGAAAGAATCTGGATTGAGATACAATTGTAAGTTATTAAGACAGTACGATAGTATTACAGATGTGGATGAAGCACTAGTATATGTAAAAAGTAATACATTTTACATCTCTTGAAGAGAGGACCAGGAGGCCTTTTCTCACACGAATTCACAGGTCCCTGGAAAGATAGGACTTCCTGCTAGGAAGAGAGGGGCGCCTGGCTGGTTCCAGTTGGTGGAGCAGGTGACTGGATATTGGGACTCCCTGAGTTCGAGCCCCCCATTGTTGGATGCAGAGATGACTTAGAGATGAAATCTTCAAAGAAAAAAAAGAAGGAGGAAGACGGAAAGATGGAGCCTTTGGTGGACGGGGACTGTGAAAAGAGGAAGAACCAGGCCGCCGGTGAGCTCAGGTTTCCGAGAAGGGGAGGCACAGCCGACCTGTGGTTCCTCCTTGCCATGACGACGACAGTGCGGAGAAGGAACCCTCCCTTGCAGACTGGTGTTTATCAGCCTGATTTTGAGCACTCCCAAATACTGGAATTCTGCGTCGGCAAGAGAGACGGCAGGCGGACAGCAGGAAGGATGAGACACAGATCCGTGCACGACTTTTGGGTTTATCCCACGTTGCCACCTTGGGTGTTTCTTACCAACTCTGTCCGTGCTCCTTCAGGAGGGATGGACCCTGCAGCAGGAATCAGGACGAGAAGCCAGCGGTTACTAATAAAAATATAGATAGATAGATAGATATCACTTCTGCCATTCCTGCTGCAAAATAGGAGAATTCAGAAGTGTCAAAACTGCCTTGTTTCTAACAGCAAGCTTTGGCCTTTAAAAAGAGTAAGAGGGTGGACATGGGATCCTAACTGTGGCCGTGCTCAGCTGGTGCAACCCACGTCCTGACCTGTCCCTTTGGTGCCCTGGGGGACGTGGCCGCCAGGACCGTGCCTGCTAGCAGGATTCTGGAGGGGCAGGGTGTGCTGTGCATTTGTCCCCAGTGGAAAGGGAGAGCCTATGTGGAGGTGACCCTGTTCCAAGGCTGGTGTTTTTAGGAGGAACACAGGGAGGCCGCGTCGTCTGGAAATGGATTCCCAGTGCCCTCCTGAAGACTCAGACCCTCAGGGCACAGGTGTCTCTGCCGAGACACTCCCCAGTCTTACAACCCAGTCCCTTAAAGGCGGTCCCTTCTTGCCTGCGGCGTGCCCCGGAGAGGTCTGTCCCATCCCACAGCTGACCTGCTCTTCTCCTCTGTGACCCGGAGAGGGCGGCGGCCTTGCTGGAGGAGGGGAAGGATGGGATAAAGCCTGGTTGGGTTTGGGGTGACCTTGCCTTCAAACTGGGAGGGTAGCCTGGTGGCGTACTCTGAGATTGGGGTGCGGATCAAGGGGGGCTCCCTCCAGGGCCAGCCCGGGGGGACCAGAAGGCTGCCCAGGCATAGCACTGAAGGAGGCCCTTGCTCTGAAGGCTGGACTCCCCAGACTCCCTGCTTCCCAGACACCGGGTGTAGGGCAGGGCAGGGAGGCCTGCGGCTGTAAACGCGACCCTCTGTGCTTTGACAGACGCTGTGCGTGAGCAGAACCACCAGCCCCTCAGCTGCCATGAAGCTTATCTCCCCCAGAGACTTTGTGGACTTGGTGCTCATGAAGACGTATGAGGACGGGACCCTCAGTTCCAATGGTGAGTGACAGCCAGACTGCCACCGGGGACTCACAGCCTGGGTCCCCTGTTCCTCATGCACCTGGCCACAGCAGCTAGCGGGGGATCACCCTGGGTCCCCTGTTCCGCGTGCACCTGGCCTCTGCAGGTGCAGGGGGATCGCATGTCGTGGGGGGCCGTGGCAAGGGAGCGCCCAGGCCGGTCATTGTATGTTGACGTCACAGACGTGGCCAGCATCCCTCGTCTTTCCCACTGAGGCTCATGGTCTATGCTGTCGCTGCACGGGGTTGTGGCCCTGTCCCCTCCCTCCTGCCCCTGCACGTGTCCCACTGCCTCCTGAAAGCCACAGCCCTCGCCATTCGTCCGGATCCTTTATGTGGGGACAGATGGAGATGGGTGCCTCCCTCCTGCCCCCTGGCCTTACCCTGTGGAATGTTCTTGTCTCTGAGATGCCAGCAGGTTTGGGAAGCCATGAACATGGGTATGTGCACGTGTGTGTGTGTGTGTGTGTGTGTGTGTGCACGCGTGTGAGTGTAAAGGATGGCGGGGGGCTCAGGGACAGGTCCCAGGGCACCCATGCTGACTCCTCAGGCTCCAGGTGGTGTGGTCTGCTTGCACAAGAGCTGAGGTCGTAGCTCAATCCCCATTTGGCTGTCTTCCAGCTATCAACGTGGAGCACCCGTTGTGTCCCCCAAAGCCGGGTTATGTGAGAGGGTTTAACCACCCTTGTGGCTGCTTCTGTGAGCCTGTGCCAGGGTAAGGATCATCGGGGTTGAATAACATGCCCAGACCTACGCGTAGCTTAACTGTGGACCTTCTGGGCAATGGGTGCGTTAATTACAGTTGGCGGTAATAAACCAGCCCGTAGGGAGCCCTGTTCTGGACACGTCGTGACACAGTGCGCCCAACCACCAGGGGAGGCCTTGTTCTTACTGTTTCCAGTGTGGGGCTCCCCTCCAGTCCTATAAGGCAGGCTGGGCAAATGTCATGGTCCCATTTAGCAAATGAGAGAACGAGCTCAGGGAGGTCAGAGGACCTCTCCCCGGTCAGAGGCGTCAGAGGCTGGCAGTGCAGGGCCAGAGGGCCAGGTCCTCCCTTCTGTGCTCTTTGACCTCTGTCCGCCAGCCCGGAGCAGCTGGGGGAGGGGGCTGTCCCCACCCCATGTCCCACGCAAGGCTTGTCTCCCTTCAGTGAGTAGAAAAGCCACAGCCCAGAGCAGCCCGTGCTGGGTTGTGCTGCTCACCTGCCCACTGTGTCCCTCTCCAGGCCTCTGTTGCCCTGTCTATGCAACTGGGAGGAGGCCGCGGTTTGGAAGGTGCAGGCCCTCGGGCTCCGTGATGGGCAGGTGCCGTGCTGGGTGGGGATCCCAATGACGAATCTCAGTGTCCCGGCCTTATCTGTCAGGGTGGGTGCTCCTCCGTGGCCTTGGGGCACAGCCCCCATGCCCCGCTCCCGACGCGTGATGCGGCTCTGCCCCTGTTTCCGTAGGGAGCCCAACAAGACCCACCTGGTCACGTTCTTCCAGACCGACCTCAGCGGCTACCTCCCGCAGAGCGTGGTGGACTCCTTCTTCCCCCGAAGCATGGCCGGGTTCTACACCAACCTGGAGAAAGCCGTGAAGACTTTGTACGACTGACGTTTGCACCTGCTAGCCGAGGACTCCCGGGACTCACTGCAGAGCCCCGATGCCAGGGTACCAGAGAGCTCCGAGGGCCAGTTTTCACCCTATGGGACCTGCTTGGGGACAGCTCATCTCGGTGGAGAAACCGGTGGGAGTGGCCTCCGCCACCCCACTCCCCGCTCCGGGACGGCGAGGGAGTCGCTCCTTGGCCCTGGCTGTCCGCAGACCCCAAGGGGTGCGCTCTGGTCTGAGGCCTGTGTGCGCTAGTCACCGCCAGAGGCCACCTGCCCCCGCCGGTTAGGAAGGACCCCCACTGACGCCAAAAGCCAGGCTCTGCTGCCTGGTTCGCACCCAGTGCTCTCCGAACTGATCACACGGCCCCAGGTTTCCTCCTTAAAACAATAATGGCTTGGAAAATACTCTTTTAACAAATGAGCTAAGCATTGGGGAAAAATACATTCGATATTTCTTTTGGTTGTAGGTTCCATTTGAATCTGTCCTTTCCACTCTTTTCCACTGAGTTAACTCCCGTGTTCCCAGCGGACCCTGGCCAGCTCAGCAGCCTCGGGGCTGGCGTCCTCCATGGTCGAGCCACTCTGCTGTCCCCATGAAGGATGGGAGGGCAGGTCCCCTCCAGCGGCGCTGCCTGGAGTCCCCACTCTAGGCTCTGCTCTGAGATCGCACAGGTCTGGCCTACTATGTGGGTCGTCGGAATGGGGGAGCACGGCTTTGCCACCTGAAAGGGGCCTCAGCAGCCACACGAGGTCCCCTCCCTGTCTCGGATCGGGACCACACAGCCTGTCACAGTGAGCGGCATCCCGTGTCTGACCCCAGTGTCCTTGAGTTGCGGTAAGGACGGTCCGCAGGAAGTTTCCAGAGTCCCCCCAGGGAAAGACAGCCCTGCCTTGTGCGTAGGACTCACTTCCCCACCTTCGAGTCCTGGGGCATCTGTCTCTGAGTGTGGTGAAGCACGAGCAAGCTTTGAAACAGGAGGGGTTAGGGAGCCCCCTTTTTACAGGTCGCAGTGGGACCGCAGACCTCATAGTCCTATCGTTGGGACCGTCCCGCTGACTTACCCAGAAACCTTCCTCAGGCTCTCGGATTCGTTAGATCACATTCCCTCGGTAAGTGCGTAGCAGGGCCTGACTCTGCCGGGTGGCCGCTCAGGAGACCCCGGAAACCACCTCTGCCTCCCTGTCTAGCAGGATGGAGAGCCCATTGCGCCGCAGCTCGGAGGGTCACAGGGTCCCTCGGGGGGAAGCTGTGCTGCCCGGGAGACTGAAAACGTGCCCCTGTCCTGGTGCCTGCCACTCACTCAGAATTCCTTCTCCCAGTCAGTGACATCACCGGCCTCTGCTGCACGGCCTGTCTTGCAGGGACAACGTGGGGACAGGAAAAACAGTCCCCAGGTCGCCTGCTGCTTGAAGTCCCTGCAGATGAGATGATGTACCGACTGATGAGATGCGGCTCAAAGCAAGGAACCAGGGCAGCCTGGGAGAGGCCCTGGGGTGGGTGCGGTGCCCACAAGGTGGGAGTGGGTCCCTGATGGTGAGCTGTGGCGCTTGTCGTATTTGGGGGTGACCGGAAGCTGTTCACTGAGGCGCTCTCCTCTGCCTCTGCTCCCTTCTCAAGATATCGGCCAGGGACGGCCAAATCTCCCACGTAAATCCCAGCACCGTGACTTCAAACGGATGAGCTCTTGTGTCAAGACCTTGCTGGCTCCTGGACTGAAGACGCGTCCCCCACCCCCCAGCACCGAGACTGGAAACGACCAGAGGCAGCGTCCTGAGTGGGGAGGGAGGGACCTTCCGAAGCAGGAGGAGGGACTGGGAGGGCCGCGGGCCAGCTGTGCCCTAGTTCTGAGACAAGCCTGCTGAGACTTGCCGGGTGCCTTCTGTGTGTCCCCGGCCTGCGGCCAGCCCTGTGCTGGTGTGCGTCCCCTGCTCTGGTCCCGATGGAAGGCCACTCCGTCCCTGGGCTGGTCCGCATGCCTGACCCGGCTACTCGCCCGGCAGCTGGTCGCTACAAGATGGTGGGACCCGGGTGTGCCTCCCCGGCCAGCCGGGGGGGGCAAAGGCAGGATCCTGTGGAGTGACCCGGGGAATTCAGGCACGTCTTCCCATGCTGGGTCGCAGTGATCTTCAATGTCTGTTAAACCTGAAGAACCAGTCCGCCCGATGTCTGAGACCTTGTCTCTGTGCGGGGCAGGGCAAAACTCACAGGGGAACACGCCAGGCAGCAGGCAGGACGCGACCGCTGTAAGCCCGCCGCTTCCTGGGATGAGGGGATCGGCGAGCTGGTGCCTACTGCAGTGACGCTGCACGTGGCAATGGCGTGAAGAGGGCCCCCCGGTGAGAGTCCTGTGGGTTCGCTGCCAGGAAGCAGTCTGCCTCCTGCGGACCCTGGAGAAGCCGCCAGATTCCACCGGCGTGGCCCCAGTGCTCCTGGCCTGGGAGTAACTCACTTGTGTGTGGTCCCCAGACTCCACCAGTCACGGGGCTGGGGCAGGGCTGGGACGCTGCGGGGGCTGGTCGGGTGCTGCTGCTTGCTGCTAAGACGTAGGTCCGCCCTGAGCGTGGCCGTCAGGCATTAAGATATGAACAAAGCAAATATGTGCTGGTCCATACTGGCCCGTCGGTCTGTACTGAATCACAGAAAAGAAGGACTTGGTCTCGGCCACATTGTTCACCAACCTGGACGGGCCGGGCCACTTGCCATCTCCCGGTCTTGGCCCCTCATCAATTCAGTGGCACAAAACCACGCCCCATAGAACCCCATTATGATTAGCAAAGACTGTGACTGCTAACGCCAGCCTGGTGCTCGGCCCGGGGTAGGTTGACGATAGCAATTTCTAGTTTACCGTGTCATACACGGGCTGGTCCGTGCTGTCGGCACACCTGCCCACGCCTTGAGTCTCACCTGTACTCCCCTTGGCGTCCTTGCCCCACCACCCAGTTCCCCCTAGGCCTTGGATCATGTCTCCCACCCAGTGACAACCAGCTTCGCAAGGGTTTTGTCTGGTAGATGGTGTTTTCCCCATAGCCCAGTAGCGGCTGCCCTCGCCTCGCACCTGGGTCGGCTTCCCCGATAGGGTCCAGCAGAAGATGCCTTGGGGCTCTGAGGCAGGGTCAGAAGAGGACCCCCGAGCCGGCTCTCACTCTTGCCCCAGCAGCCATGTGTGAGGAAGCCCGGGCCCCGGGGCGAGGCCCCCTGCGAGCATCCAGGCTGACCGCTCCAGTTCGGGTCCCACCAAAAGACCACACCAGACTGACCCTCGCGGGCAGTGATCGAGCAGCCTCCGAGCTGCTCAGGCAGATGCCCAGGAGAGCAGCACAGCCCATCCCCACGTGGCAGACGCATGAGAAACGCAAATGCCGTATGCGGCGTGAATCATCCCAGCGTTCCAGGACTCGGGAAGTCTGCCAAGCAGGACATGGGTTTCATACAAACCGGGACACAGCCGTTTTATTTATAGCACAGTATTTTCTTTACGCTTTCTGTGCCTCGTCTGTACGGGCCTCCCTGGTGTGACTCTGCCCTTCCTTTCGGGACTGCCCTCCGGCTGGGTGACTTCCTGGAAGGTCAGGACCAGGGCAGCGGCACCAGGAAGCACAACTCTGCTGTCCCCAGTCCGGGCGGGGAGCAGCAGTGACCCTGAGAATTAGCGCTTGTGAGCAGCTCTGTGCTTGCCTACGGGTCTCCCGCCCCTGCGGTCCCCTTGGCCTGATGGCTTTTCCTCCTGATGACGATCGGGACAGGTCCATCGGGCAAGGTCTTGATGATGTTCCAGGCTTCAAACCGTGTGAGGCCCTGCATGGCCGTGCCAGCCAAGTGTAGGAGCTCGTCCCCTGGCTGGATTGTCTCGCTCTGCTCCGAGGCGGCCCCTGAGAGGAGGAGGAAGAAGATAATGGGTTGCACAGGTGACCGGGGAGCAAGGAAAGTTACCTCCCAGCATCAGTCTCCGAGGAGTGGGACAGCTCGGGAGAGAACAGGGTGCCCTTCCCTCAGGAGCTTGGCGGTGGGCCGTTGATGGGGCATCTCATCAGACGGTGACCTCAAGGTGGGCACGCCAGGCTCTAGCTCCGTGGCCCTCAGGAAAGGTGTAGCCTGTGTGTCCCCAGAGAAGGGAGGTTCCAGGCAACCCCAAGCTCAGAGCCAGGTTGAGGAGACTTTATGGATCCTAGAGGCCTGGAGAAGACCCCTGTGTCTGTGGGAAGAGGACAGAATCGTGTACGGCCCCCACTCTTTCAAAGGACTGTTGCTTTATTGTAACGAATTTCCCATCCGTTTGCCCCCATGAGATTCAGAGATAGTGACTAAAAGCTAATAGTAATGAGAATTTAAAAACTGCTCAAGTATTTCGGATCCTTGTGCCCATCGGGTGTCCAACGAGCACTGCGTGGGGAGCAGTCGTCCCTTTGCACTTGCCAGGAGCGTGAGGACTTGGGTAACCAGCCAGGCCTCAGAGCTGGTAGTCCACCTTCAAATGCTAAGAATGTCTTTCCCAGAGTTGGAGTAAATGAGGATTCCCAGGGAGCCCCCCGCCCCAGGGAGCCTCCTCGCACCCGGGTCCAGACATACCCCACAGCTCTGTGTGGACGAGGAGCCCCGGGCCCTGGGGGGCAGCGGTCACTCAGCAAGTGAGAGGCTGCGCTGGGGCCCGAAGCCGGGTCCCTTGACCCCTGCCCGGGGCTCTGCCCCAGCTCCCCGCCCTGCTGCTGGGGCTCTAGCCTGAAGAGCCCTGGGAGTGCAGGCCTCTCACGATGGTCACGGGGAACCTTGAGTGACCCCCGCTTTTGGCCGACTTGCACCTCAACCTGAGATGAACAAAACGTCAGCGTTTTGAATAAAAACGAGAGCTGACGGGTGCAGGAGTGGGGGGAGCCGAGTGAGGCTGAGTGTGTCCAAGTGGGAAGACCCTGTCCTTATTTTAAACTTTGATATTTTGCTCATTATGGATTTTGTTAAATTTTAATTCTTAGACCTAGTGCATTGAAATTGGCTACTGCGGGTCTGGGGACCCCCTTCAGGGCCATGTCCTGGGCTGTGCCTCTCTGGCCTCACCCTCGTTCCGGGCCCTGCGAGGCTGAGCCAAGCCTAGGGCTTCATCACTTACCAGGACCCAGAGAATGAGAAGGGGCAAGGGGATGTCCCGAGGCGAGGAGAGAAGGTAGAAAAAGCAGAACTGAGTCCCTGAGTGGACTGCCTGCCTCCAGGAGGGCATGGGGTTGTGGGAGACCAACGTGGCCCAGAAGGTGCCCAGAAGCATTGTGGGGGCCTGGCCTGACCCCCCCCCCAACTGGAGAGAGCGCAAAGACGCAGATGCACACCACACCTTTGAAAATCCGGTTCACGGTGAGAGGCTTGTCCCCGAGCAGGGAGCCCTTGCCGCCCTCCAGGCTAAAGCCCAGCCCCGCGGAGGTCTTCTCCAGCGTCACTGTGTGCACCGTGGCCTCTGCTGCAGGGGAAGGACAGGGATGTTGTTAGGGACGTCCTCCTCTCTGGGCACCCACGTGAGCGGGGGAAGGCTGCCTGCCCGCCTTGCACCCGTGCCCATGCACATATGAACACAGACATGTGCCCCCAGCAACGTGCCAGGCAGGCCACGCACTGTCATGGAGCCCCAGCCGCCCTGGCCCCACGTGGTCAAAGGCGGTGTGACCCCCAGCGCCTCCCGCAAGCCTGGAGGCACTTACTGGAATCTGCGGAAACGTCGCTGGCCACAGAGGCTGCCGCCGTAGAGTCCGAGGAGGAGTTCGGGTCAGGAGTGTCCTCCAGAACCGGCCTCCTGGTGACGATCACGGCTTGCCTGGGGTCCCGAGCTTGGCGGAGGATGGCCAGGGCATCGCTGTGTGTGGCCCCTTTGAGGGACTTGCCGTTGATGGACAGAACCTCGTTGCCCTTCTGAATAGTTCCCTCCTGGGAGGCCAGCCCGTTGGGGAACACTCTGTGGACCTGCAGAACCGACGGAAGTCAAGACCGGGAGTCGCGGGTGTCAGCTCCAGACTCGTGCTGGAAGAGGATCCAGACTAGACACCCAGAGCAGAGATCCCCGGTGAGAGTGGTCAGACCCGTCCTCAGAACCCTTGCTAACACAGTGCCCTAGCCGATCCCGGCAATCCCAGTAAACAACCCAGGTCAAATCTCTCGCCTTCCCTGCTCGGCAACGCCTCCAGGAGTGTTTTCCCGAAGCACAGGTTCTGTGCCTCCTGCGTGGACCTAAGGGAAAGGGCTCTAAGGTCTGGGTGAAACGGAAGGTCTGAAAATGTCCCCAGTTTGTCGGGAGACGTATTAGAGACTCAGCAAAGCCACTTTGCACCGCACTTCTGGAAGAACACGCAGTGATCCCCGAAAGCCTTTCAGCAAACCATCCTTTTTTTCCCCATGCAGTTCTCAGGCCCCCGTCTTCAGCTGGATGATTTTTTGAGAAACGCTTTTCTGGGAAGTCTGGGCATTTTTAAAGCTCCTCCCGCAGAAATTCTGATCCAGAATTTCTATTTTGCTGAAAGAGGACCCCACCCGGTCCCCTTTCAGCAAAATAGGTGGGGTTTTTAAAACAGCACACGTCTTGGCCTCTGCCTCTTTAATGAGGTCAGTTCTACCGTGCACAGCGCAGAGGGCCTGCGCGACGGTGTGCAGGGCTGTCACTGAGACGTACTACAGCATCGTGCAAACCAGGCTCTCAGCTTCTCTCCATTATTTTGGTGTCCGAAAAATTCTGCGTCGCAGTCAGATGTGGCAGGGTCCCCAGGCTCTGTACAAGACCCAGGTACGAAGCAGAAGTTCTGGTGGGTATCTCCGTCCCCCACTGGAGTCCCTACTTGTCCACCCCTGCTCCCTGAGTCAGGGGGAAGATGGTTGACTCAAGCCAGTGAGTGCCCAGCACGGCCCTCAGTCACGGACGGTGCTCAGCATTGGTTCTCTTGCAATGACGACTCGGGAAAGGAAAGGACGTGTTCCCGCCCGGAGGGTGAGAGAGGGAGTCTGGTGCACGTGCCTGGCCGACGTGCATTGCCTGTTTGGTGTCCAGAGAGGCTGGCCAAAGGGGACGGAGACAGGTCACCCCTCAGGGCAGAACCCAGGATCCCAAGGGCTCTTCTCACAGGCCCGGCTCTCACTCCTCCTCAAACGGAAGGTCAACTGCACAGCCGGGGGCTCTTTGCGGTCCGGGGCTGCGTGCTTTGTGACAGAAACAGGTCCTGGGTGGTTTTGGTGCTTTTCTTGTGGTAGAGAGCCTGCTTCAGAGAAGGAAGTCACAGCTCACGTGGGGGCAGCTCTGGCCGGGCCGGTCAGAACAGCCGCGTCACCCACCGGCCAGGGTGGGTGTTCCATTCAGGCAGGTGGTGAGCTGGAGGGTCAGCCTCCAGCCGGGCAGGGGAATGCGCGTGCGCCACACCAGGAGGCCCTGCGACGACGCAGCTGTCACGCGCAGGTGTCCCGTCCCCGCTGCGCAGGTGTCCTGTCCCGGCTGCGCAGCCTTCCATGGAGGCCCCGAGACCATAAACCATTCCGGTCTAAATGTCCAGTCGCGAACAGCTTCCTGGTCTCCTTGTCCAGAGCAAGAGATGTTGGATAAAATCTGCTTCGAATTGTTGACTTGAAATTCGCACAACGCACAATGAGCCACTTTCAGGTATACGATCCAGTGACATTCGCTGGGTTTGCTGTTTTTTAGAACGTCCCCTTTGATGTTGAGAAGTTCTGGCCCAGCGGTCCCGCTGTGAGGCTGAGACACCTGGGAGTTTTTATTTATTTATTTATTTTGCATTTCCACAAGTGATTCAGGTTCCCTTGCCGTATGCAGGTTGTCTGGGGTCCGCAGAGACCCGGCTTGTTCAGTGAAGGATTGCGATGAGGGTCGAATGTGCAGTCACGTAGGGGACGTCACTAGGTTTCTTATAGAGGGTGGGGTCCCCACAGCTCCCCTCTAGGTCCCTGTCCGGTGGCCTGGCACCAGCCACTCGCTCGTCTGAGCCCCAGAGTGAGGCCCTTCCTGGCAGGTGTCCTCTCCGCTGGGGCTGTTGCCTCTGGCGCTCACGCACCCCCAGCCCTGGGCCACTCACCGTGATCGCTTTGTTTTCTAGATCTGCTCCTCCTGCCAGGCTGAACCCGAGGCCGGCCCCTTCCTCCTTGTGCAAGATGGTGACGTGGATATTGTCTAATTGCTGTGGTAGGAAACACATCTGTTAAGGACATGCACCACGCCAGCCCGAACAATCTAAGAGCCACGTCAGGCTCACTCCGTCCCCGAGCCCAGCGTGGCCACAGGCCAGGTTCTAGCCTTTCCTCGAACCCCATCCATCACCCGGACCGGGAGCACTGTGCTTTCTGGAGTCACAGGAACTTGAGCAGGGAAAAGGCGTGTGTAAAGTAACGGGTAACCCTCTTTTCCTCCCCTGGCTGCCCACCCCACACCCGCAGTGTGTTCAGACAGGGCCGGGTGCCGCTAAGTTGGCTGGAAACCCGGCGCTTTGGGGAACACAGCTCTGCCATTTCGGTGTGGGGCGAGGCCAGCTAGGGGGCTGCGGGGACGGCCAGAGGTCAGGGCTGGTCTGCACAAGTTGGCTCGTCCCCTCCTGCCTCCCTCTTCCTCCTCCTCACGGGGCACCGCCACACGTGGAGGAGCTCGGCCAGGTCACAGCCGCAGCCCATGCGGGCGCCCGTACACACACGTGCCCGTAAGAGCACGCGCACACACGGCTTAAGCCCTCCAACCGACCGTCTGAAATCACGGACCCTCTTCCTGGTCTTGACTGAGGCCTCAAGCTCAAATGCATAGTGACGGGGGAAGGGGGCGTCACAGGCAGATCATTAAAGGAGCAAACCGGAGTGACCGAGGCGTTGCAGGGTGATGGGAACCGCCGAGAACCAGGGAGCCCGTCTCCCCGTGCCCTAGCCACACAGACCCAGGGCTACCCAGCGGCCCCTTTCAGCAAAGAGAGAAGCCTGACCACCAGGTGTCAGTTCAGCTCTTTAGGACGTTACAGTTTAACAGTCCCCACGCGGACCGAATTCAATACACCGGCGGGCCCATGTGGCTCTCGGGCCACCACTTTGCCCCTCGGTGCTAGGGAATGACCCTGTGTCAAAGGACTCCCTTGCTCGGACACCACAAGAGCTCCTGGCGTGCTGCTGACCTGTGATGCCTGTTGGGAGTCCCCGAGACCCAGAGGGATGGGGGCACCGCTCCACCCCCCTCTCTCCCAGCACTGGCCCAAATCTCCCCACTTTGACCCAAGTATCAGGTCACCTGCCCTTGCCCAGCACAAAAGCAAGTGGCCTCCCAGGGACACCCTACACAAGACAGCTCTTTGTTGCTGACCCTGTCATTCTGTGTGAATGAAGCCCTGGGGGACAAGTGAGTCACCGCCCAGGGCGTCCTGTGTTGGCCGGGCTGTGCCAATGCCCTCGACCTTGGGAATTTCAGCTACGAGGCCTCCTTAATGCTTTCACCCTGGTCTGGACGATTCTGGGGCAAAAAGCCCTTGCAGATCCGGGACGACCCAGGAGGGCCAAGCCCGTGAGCTGGTGCTCACCCAGGCTGAGCCGCCACTTCCTCTCCTCCCATCTTGGGGGCGTGCTCAGAAGCAGATGGGAAGTGGGACTTTCACAATGACTTGAGTGAAATGGGGGGCCCCTTGCAAGCCCTGGGAACCGTCCCTTCCCCCCGTGCAGGGGAAGTCTCCGGCGTGAGAGCGCGCAAGGCAGGCCACTTAAAACAGAGCGTTCCCGTTAACACAAGCAGGTCCCTGGACGCGCACGCCCGGCTGGCGGCCCGTGGGACAGGGACGGGGCACGGAACTCGGTGAAAGAAAACTCTCGCGCCCCACCTTTCTCATTTCCAGAACAGCAGGAAAGAGGCAATAAGCCAGAGGTTCTTAAAAGCACTTTCTGAGCTGCCAAGCATCCTTCCAGGGCGGGTCTTACTGTGGGCCAGGAAGGCGATGTCCTCCCTGGGGCAGGGGGACCCGCAGGGCCACTTCTGCACCCGCTCTGGCCACGGCTTAGAGCACGGCCGTGGTCACTCCAAGCGCTTGCCAAGGAAGCCTACCTTCAACGTCGCGTCATCCAGAACCTTCACTTCCTCAATGAGCTTCTTTAACTCCTCGGAGCTCAGCAGGGAGATGACCGACTGGCCAGACTGAGGGGAGCCGTGGTCCCAGCTTTCAGCTTCCGTGGGCTCACCGAGGCCCTCTGTGTACTCTCTCAGCTCTGAAAGGCTTTCAGGGGGAAACAGCACAGGGCACTGATCAGAATATTACAGGAGCTCGCGGTCACCGCGTCACCCTCTGTTCCAGGCACGGGGCTGGGCACCCACGTGCATTCCATCATTTGATGGAGTAAGTCTGAGCGGATACCAGCGTCCCGCCACTGAAGCATCAGGACTGTGGGCGTACGGAGGGCGAGCCCTGCTCTGTGATCACGCGGCCGCGGGAGGCCCAGTCTGTGAGTCACAGTCACAGGTCGTGGCGTGTCCGACTCCGGTTTGGGGTGTACAAATGTCAGCACCTCACTCCAGAGGACAGCGGGGTGGACGACTGGCACCAATGCCATGGTCGGACCGCGGCTACGGCACCTCACACACACTCACCCCTGCGCTCCTTCACAGCAGCCGTCAGCACCCGCGAATCCCCCGCTGTTAGCACCTAATAACTACAAGCGGCACCACACAGCCAGCGACTGGCCTTCCTTTCCCTTTGGAACTGATTGGGATATTCTGTAGCCGGCTTTTTTTTTTTTTTTTTTTTTTTTTCTCAGCTACACCTCATTTTTGCAGGAAACTGTGGTTTCAGCGAGAAGCTGTTTCCCCGCCCTCCGACCGGCAGAGCTCCGCTGGGAGCAGGTGAAGCCGTCCCGGGGCAGAGCCCATTGGAACGGTAAGCCCCGCTGTCGCGACCGGAGCGCAGCTTCTCCGCCAGAGAGAGAGCCAGTTACCGGCCGCCCCCCCCATCAGCCTGGCTCCCAGGAGCTACCCATGGGTCGTCCGGCTCTGGAGACCCTGCCCTACATGCGTGCTCGGGGCTCACGCGGGCTCCCTCCTGGGCTATCTTCTGGGGCTGGGACATGGAACTGAGGGTCAGCGGGTCTCAGACAGGTCTCGGCAATCTGAGAGTGAGAACTAAAGGTGGGACATGCAGGGTTGTCCTAATTCGAGGCAGGACCTCGCCCCCCAGCGGTAGCCCTGGGGGACTGTGGGGAGCCCTCCGGTTTTTGGACCAGGTCCTGCCCACCTCCTAATCTCAGCTGAAGGGCAAACTGAGAGTGAGGAAACCACTCGTGGTCCCAGACATCCGAACGCCCAGTCCAGGGGCCGGAAGCCACCCACGGAATATGTGTGAATTCCTTCAGGGGTGACAGGGAAAAACAGGGAGAGGGTCATCCCCTCCTGGCTCCAGTCAGGTCTTCCTGAGCAGGAGCGGGACATGTCAGATGTGCATTCATTCCAAACCCTCATGGACAGCTCACCGGGGACCACCAGCACAGCCCCCCTCCCCACCCCTTCCAGACCAGGGGTCGGGAAAAAGTCCTCCTTCATACAGAGGGTGTAATGCACACGCACGCACCTGGGAAAGAACAGGTAGAACCACCCCTCCGGGTACCCGAGACATCGTAAATAAAGTTATGCACAGTTATGAAAGAGAAGACGAGAAAGAACGGGAAGACTGACAGGAAGCTGCAGGAGGTCCTGGGTACACTCACTTGAGGGAGAAGCCCGTGTCCGAGGCAGGAGTTTCTGCAGAACTGTTCACGGCTGGGGCGTCCCCGGCCGACGATGCAGGAGAACCCCCTTCCTTGGGGCTGCAGGACGTCTGGCCCCAGGAGACGGAAGACGGAAGGCACAGCAGGGACTTCATGACCGCCGACGACACTTGGCTGCTGATGGAGTAGAGCTTGCTGGTCTTCTCATCCAGAGGTTTCATCTCCCAGGACTGGGTCCGGGACAGGGGAAAGCTCCGTGCCCGCTGGCCCGGCATCTTGATGATGGGGCCCTGGGGCTCCTCCGTCTGTGCGGACAGCAGCCTCGAGAAAGGGTCGGGGTCACGGAGGGGGGTTTTCTGACCCGACTGCCGTCCGGACAGAGGGGACTCTGACACACCAGGCTCATTGTTCCTGGGGGAGCTGGGGGAGCCCCGCGACAGCGGCTCTCGCTCTGGTGGCTGTGGCTCGACGGCGGGGGGAGCTCCTCGCCCCGAGCGGCCAGGACCCTGTCCTCCCTCTTGTTCCCCCGGAGCTTGTGCTGCTTCCCCCCAGGAGGCCTGCAGGCTCTGTCTCTGGGCTCCTCTGCTGGGCAGCGGAGAGGAGCCAAAGGTCTCAAAGGAGCTGATCCTCTGTTTGATGGAGGAGGAGAAGGTCCGAGTGGGGGGCCCCGGGCGCTCCCGGGGAGGCGGTGTTGGCTGGGCGGGGGAGGCTGTGTCGGGCAGCCGCCTCGGCTCCTGGGCACGCGTCCTCAGACTTTTCAAACTTTGGCGAAACCAGGTGGGCTTGGGGGCCACGGGGGGGCCCCTCTTCACGGTGCCACCGTCCACCGACTTGTAAGCTTTGGGAGCACCGCCAGCGGCGTCCAGCTTGGGCGGCGCCCCATCGGGGTGGCCCCGTACCCCGACTTCTTCACCCAGACCGACGCTGGGCGGCAGAGGCACGTGGCCGTGGTTCTCGCTCATGATAGGGCTGAACAGGTTTTTGATGCAGTCGGAAATTCGAACCCAGGGGTCTTCGACTGTGCTATCAAGGCTGTAGTCCATCCGAGCCTGCCTCTTAAGGAGCGGGTGCTTCACGGCAGAGGCTAGGGTCCCTGGGGAGCACAAACAAGGCAAAGGCCGAGCTTTACACCTCCGTCCTATTTTCAGAGCTAAATAGCAAGGAGCTTTCTGCAGGAGAGCAGCCCTGGTTGGGGGAACAGCTGCCCCCCCGCCCCAGTACTGTTCCCTGACGGCAGGGCCAGCAACGAGCACCGCAGAACCACAGTCAGCTTCTCCACGTTTCAGAGCTGGAAGAATCTGCAGAGACTGTCTGGCTCGATCTCTGGCCCTTCTCAGTTGTGCAACATTCACACGGGCAAGGGATCCCCTGTCGGTGACAGCCCCGTCTCCTGACTCTGCCCGCTTCCCGCTGCACTACAGCGGCCTGCCCGTAGTCGTGCAAATTTAAAAGCCAAAGCAATGTTCTTACCTTTCCAAACTCGTAAGCCAAAGGTCACAGAAGGGCGGCCATATTTGCTTTGGACCACTCGTGTCATTAAACACGAGCGTGCCTTCCAATGGGGACCCCCAGCTCTCCTCGATCCTTAACCCACTTCTTGCTGCTCAGCACCTTATGTCATCTGTGCACCCACTGCCGGAAAGGTGGGGAGACTCCTTTACCCGGGGACAGAGGGAGGCCACCGCCCAAGAACCAGCCAGCAAAGATGCCAAGTGGACGTGTGACCGTCCTGTGGCCCCCAAGTCCGATCTGGCCCCGGGTGCATAGCGTGTTGTTCTGGATTTGTGTTCTGGGAGCTGCGTGGTACCCGGAAGCAGCCCAGTGAGAGGAGCACTGACCCCTGCTGTCCCAGTCTCGGTGCGGGGCTTCTAGGGAAGCAAGCCGAGGGAGCCTTAAGGCTCAGGGAACCGGAGCTGCTCTGCACAATCTGGGAGACCTGCGGGGGGGACTGGATTCCAGGCTTGGCCAGCAGGCCCAGGCCTCTCAGCCCGGCTCTGCCTTTGTCCATTGCTCTGCTGCGAGGGGCCGTCCGGAAGCTCTGCGGTCAGCCAGCAAGTCCTTTGCTCACAGGCATGAGGCGCTCTTAGGAGCTGAGCACCCTGGTGTTCTGTCCTGTGTTCCTCAATTGGGGTGACGAGGGGGAGGGAGCATGGAGGAGGGGAGCCCGCCGCAGTGGGACACCTGCTCGGGAGAGATGAGCCAGGTATAACCCACTCCCAACCCTCCGGGAGCCACTCATGTGCTCTCCACGGAGCATTTCTCCAAAGGGCAAGTGGTTTGTAGCCACTGCTGGGAGCACCTCGACGACCCGAACGGGTTTATCTATTCTCTGTCCCGCGGTCCCTCCCTCTCTCAGCACCTAGCCCGAGCCCCAGAGGGCCAGCATTCAACAGAGGCTGGGGAGACATGTGACTTTCCATACCCCACTAGTGAGCGACAGAGGCTCAGGAGAGCAAAGGAGGTCGCCTGGGGGGGGCAGAGCCAGGGGTCCCCCACATGGGTCCTTCCAACCCCGAGTCCTATGCCCTGACCCCACACCCAGCCGGGGGCACGGCCACCCTCCCAGACACAGCGCCCGCCAGCAAATGCAAGGCTGCTGCCTCAGCTGGAGGTCCGTAGGATGCCACCTGCGAGAGGGCGCCCCCCTCCATCCCGTGGCTGACTGTCCTGACCGAGCCCCTCCGCGGCATTGCCGGTTGGACCATGGGGTCCTGCCCCACGGGCACCTCAGGGCTCCTGCCTGTTCATCAGCCTGTGTCCAGCTGCCCCATTGGGCACAGCCCTCCATCCCCGGCGCCAACACACATCCTTGCCTCTGTCCTGGACCTTAACCCAGAAGGTCCTTCCTTCCTTTGGGAAGCCAGAGCTGAGAGCCTACCTGGGCTGCCTCCTCTCCTCCCGGGCTCTGCCTCCGAGGAGGGTGCCGTGGGCGGGCCGGCCACAGGCCCCGGGCAGCAGGCAGGGGGGCAGGGGACTCTCCCCGCTGTGTCTTCCTGCGGCATCGGTGGCAGCCGCTCTCTGGCTTCCTGTGGTGTAAACAGGAAGGGAGACCACGTGAAAATGGTGGCCTGCTGCCGTGAGAGGCCAGGCACACGCAGGCTGGCACCGGAGAGCCCGCGCCCCGCTGCTCCCCCGACGGGCTCCCTGGCAGCCCTGTACGCCGGCCCCTTCCTCCCCAGGGCTGTCCGCTCCCCAGAGGCCCAGGGTGCCCCACGCCTTCCAGGGAGCCCACGTCCTGCACAGAGCTCCTCCTGGCCAGGCGTAAAGTCCCTGGGTGCCCTGAGATGGGGACCAGGAGCTCGGGGTGTGGACGGTAGCTGCCTCCAGGTGAAGCCCCGGCCTGGGAAGGGGGGAACAGCAGGCTCCTGGTCTTAATGAACGTAAGGTTCGGACACTCGGAGCCAAATGCGTGTCTGTCACTTCCCGCACAGCTCTCCATCACAAGCATGCTTCGAAGACACCAGGCCCTCGGGACCTGCGCCCCAGCGGCCCTCTCCGCACCTGCCGTGGCCAGGTCAGTCCCTGGCAGGTGTGTTCTCCCCACCAAACCCGGGATGCAGTCTTAGGCTCCTTCCTTACGGGCTCAGACCAGCCAGACCAGCCCCAAACACCTGTCTCCAGCTGGCCTGGGGTTTGCATTCCCACAGCACACACCAGAGGCCGGCGGGGCCCCAAGGAAGCAGACAGGTGAACGAGGCTTCCTAGAGAGATGCTTTCTGTCTGGTTCTTGAGCAAAGAGTAAGAATGTCCCAGGCAGAGAAGCAGAAAAGGAGCGCTCCAGCGAGTGGGACACAGTGAGAGGGACAAGCATGACGCCAGCCCAGGCAAGAAGAAGAAGGAGTAGGGCGGCGTCATCACAGGGACCCTCCCGTGTGGGCTCATCTGCAGGTGCAACACTTCACGGTGCTGTGGTGGCCCCGTGTCCGCTCAGTCCAGAGGCAGGTGGTGTGACGGGCGGGCTGGCTGACAAAGCTGCAGGCTTCCTCCGCAGAGGAAGGAAAAAAGGGGCAATAAATGCATCGTTTGGGACTAACACAGAAATGGCGGATGTCTGTGGCCCGAGGTCAACATCTCCGTTGGCAATCAGCATTCCCGGACAGAGGGCTCCTGAAGCTAGAAATGCGTTCACAGAGCCTCGTCCCCACCCAAGGTCCCCGTCAGAGACCTTAGCTTGGGGAGAGCATTTGGAAACACAGGGAGGCCAACCAACCCAGGAATCACTGGGCTCCTTGAACTAGTCCTTTGAGGAAGCAAGACTTGGCTGTGGTATTTGGAGCTTGAAATACTAGCCCAGGGGTGTCTGAGACCCCCATCACGCAGGGAAAATGACAGGGGGCTAGGATTCAACTTGGCTCATTCGGGAGCTCCATGTGGTGACATCTGTCTACATCCAGGGATGGCTGACAGTCTTACAGGCTGTCGTAACCACTAGGTCAAAGCAACTTTGCCTCTCAGAACAGACATGAATGTATTTTGCTGTTCCGTTAACACACCCGCTATTATTAGGGTTTTTTTTTTCCCTTAATTAGCCCTCAAAATAAATCCGAGTTGACTCAAATTTTTCTGGAAGCTACTTCGAGCTCCTTCCTTAGCACAGCGCTCGGTGAGTGAGGGAGAGAGAGAGGAAAGGAGAAAGGACAGACGCGTGGGTTTATAGGCTAGACAGTGTGTTTTCCGCCCGAGTGATGGTCTGAGCTGATTTTCTAGAAGGGAATGAACTGGTCTTTTGCTGAAGGAACGATCCCGAGGGTCGTTTTGGTTGTGGATCTGAAGTTCCCGTGGGTCTCAGGTTGGGAAAGATTCGGGGCTTATCCCGGAGAGAAAGGCTGCAGGGGAACTGGGAGAGAAGGGGGAGGCAGAGGGAAGGATGGGGCCAAGCAGAGACCCATCCAGTGGGAAATCCCCAGGAATGGTCGCGGGGACTCGAGGAGGGAGGTCCGGCTTTACTTCTTGGTTATGTCCTTTCTCTGCGACTCCCACTCCCAGTAAAAGTAGGTCCTGTGGCTTGTGCTGCTGACAGGGGCCTGCCGGCCACGCGGGACTGAGCAGAGGGACAGAGAAATGCAGCTGCAGGCAGGGGTGGGGGAGGCCGGACAGCGGACCCCAGTGGACCCCCGCGGACCCCCGCCCAGGGAAGGCTGCTCAGAGGAAGCGTCCACGCCCCAAACCGCTGCGGGCCCTTCCTGCAGAAACCCCGCTTCTCCCTCCAGCCAGCTGGCCTGGGGACACCTGCATCTAGGACCTGGCTGAACCAGGAACCCCCAGGGCAAGACCTCCTCCTTCTTGGAGTCTCCAGGAACGAAGCAAAAAGCCCGGCTTCCAGGGCTGCGGGCTCCTCACTTGGCCTTCCAGACCCGCAGGAAAAGAGCAACAATTGCTTCAAGCCGGGGCGGGGAAGAGACCCACCGTGACAAGCCCTTCGGGTGGGCGCAGCGAAGCAGCCACATCCGGCCTTGCTCTGCAGGACCCACTTCCCTCCCAGCACCTGCTTCCTCCTCCCTCCTCCGCGGCCTCCCCTCCTGCTCACAGCCCCCACCCCCGCCTGCCCGGCTTCCCACCCCACCGCTCTGGCCTCCTCCCCTCCTGCATGGTCAACCGGATGACAGGTGGTTAGGGGGGTGTCCCGGGGTCCCCCTGCCACCTGCACGGCCACGGCTGCTGCAGGGGTCCGGGGTGGGAAAGGCGGCGGGGCCGCTGGCAGAGGGAGCTGGAGCTCTGCTGCGTCTTCATGACCAGGCCCCTCGCCCCCAGCAGGGTGGGGCCGAACCGGGGTGATGCCTGCGTGGCGTGAAGACGTCCGCACTGCAGCAGCCCGGCTGGCCTTGGGGGCCTTCCTCTCGGGGGGGCGGCCCGGGCAGCGGGGGAGGGGCGCGGAGGTCTTGCACAGACGTGCGGGAGGGACCGTCCCAGCCGCGAACCCATGCGCGCCTGAGACGAGGCTGGGCATCAGCCTCGTGGGTCCACATACCGAGCAGGGAGCCACCGGCGAGCCCCGGGGACCAGGAAGGGAAACTGAGGTTCAGAGAATTCCGGTTCCCCCCAAACTCCACCCAGAAGGAAGTGGGAGTCGGCAAGAGGAGCTGGCAAAGCCCCAGGAGCCGGGGTCTCGCCATCACTCGGACCAACCCCCTCTCAAAGCGGGGAACGAGCTCAGCGCGGAAGCCCCCAGCCGGCACCTCACCCAGGGCCTTCCAGGAGCTCTGCTGGGGCTCCGTCGGCGCGAGCCTGACGCATGAGCCCCGTGAAAGCAGCCAGAAACCCCAGCGTGTTCTAGAAGGGGCCCCGCAGCCCCTCAGCGGGCGCGGGGCTTGGGTTCTGGGCCGCCCAGCTCGGACTCTGCAGTCAGCCCGGAGCTCGCGCTAAGGGAGCCGGAGACCCTCCCCCAGGGCGAAGGCTGCGGCCGTGGTCAGGAATAACCGTGCACACGACGAACACCAAACCAACAGCAACAAAACCACGACCCTGGCTCTGGAGCTCAGGAGGACATTCGGCCCGCCAGACCCCTCTCTTACCTGGCCACACGGGGGCACGGTGTGCCCAGAAGGGCCGAGGGTGTCCTCTCTCTCTTCCAGACTCTTCTGTGGGTCACTGTCACTTTTGAAGTATTTTCTGGGTGGAGGCTTGGGCTTGGAGGTCGTGGGCTTTCTCACCAAAATCTCGAAGGACTTCTTCAGCTTTAGGGGCGGGTGGCTGTCCTGCGTCCCAGGGAGGGGTGGGCTCTCCTGGGGTGGCCTGGAAGGAGCCACAGAAAGCGTCCCCAGCTCCTGCCCCTGGGACAGGCTGGGGCTGTGGGTGGGGACTTCCAGGTCAGAAGGCTGCTGCTCGCAGCCGCTAACGGGACTCCCCCCAGGGGACCCGGACATATAGCTGCTGTCGCTGCTGGAGCGGATCATGACCTTCTGAGCCCTGCGATGTGGGGGTGCTGAGTTCTTCTCTCTCTCCTTCTCCAATGTCGGCCGCCCATGCCAGCTACTATCCAGCCTCTTGACACCTGCCGTGGAAGCACAGGGGACCCCACACAACTGAGCTTGGAGGGCACACAGACCCTTGGCCCCTGTGCTCCCAATGGCCCTGGGTTGCCCACTGCACCCCCCAGACTGCTGCTCATCTGAGGTCCCTTTGGATCTGGAGCCTGGCAGGCATGGGTCTGTCCCGGGTCAAGCTGTACGACTTTCACTTGGGAACATCACGCAACCTTTCTGAGTCTCCATGCGATGGAGATGGAGGTGCATCCCCGACTTACTCGTCAAGGGAGGGCATGCTGTCCCACCCGTGGGGAGCACTGGCGGCAGGCACCTGCCGCTGTCAGCCTCTCCAGGGACTGCCCACAGGGAGCCGCTCACCCAGGAGGCTGCTCGTTTCCAGTGACTGACTGAGATGGGCTGTAAAGGAGGGCCGCTCCTGCCAGCCAGACATCGGACGTGATGCTTAGCTGCCCAACTCCCTCTGCCCAGCCCCTGTTCCCCCCTTCTCCACGGGCTCCGACTCCTGGGACTCCTCCAAGGCCACATCCTGCCAAACATTGTCTCAGAGTTGACTTATGGGAGAACCCAGCCAGCAACACCCCATTTTCTCATCTGTTAAATGGGCATAATAACCCCAGGGCCATGGGGGTTGTTTCAGGGTTCAGTATGAAAGAGAGAAAACACCTGTGAATGTGTGCAGAGCCTTGTCCCAAGAGGCTACCATTTCTTTTCTTTTCTTTTTTTTTTTAAGATTTTATTTATCTATTTGACAGAGAGAGAGAGAGAGAGAGAGATCACAAGCAGGCAGAGAGGCAGGCAGAGAGAGAGGGGGAAGCAGGCTCCCCGCTGAGCAGAGAGCCTGATGCGGGGCTCGATCCCAGGACCCCAGGATCACGACCTGAGCCGAAGGCAGAGGCTTAACCCACTGAGCCACCCAGGCGCCCCAAGGCTACCATTTCTTCCAGGTAAGAATGAATCGAGACCCAAAACCACAGTTTCTTAGCCAGAGCTTCCTTTCACTTCCCTCCCATCCAGCCTTCTTCCTGGGTCATCCCCCCAACACACCCATTCTCAGCACCAGGGACCATCCCCACAACCTTCCTTTAGCGACAAACTGTTCCAGGTGTTTCTTTCCTCGAGTCAGTGCTCCATGGAGTGGGAGCAGGCTGAAACCCAGCCTTTTGCTCAAATTCCAGCTCATTCTGGAAGGGCAGGAGAGCAAGGAGACCCCCAAGGAAGAGAATACTAAACTTTAGGAGAAAATCACAATCAGCCAAGCTCACAGCTCGAATCCTCTTTCAAGAAAAAAAATTTTCTTTTGCTTTATCCTGGCCATAAAATAGCGTACCCTCATTAGAAAAAAAATTCAGCCACAAAAAGGAAGAAATGAAAGTGAAAATTCACCGGCAGTCCTACCAGCTGGAGGGAACCACTGTCAAAACATTGGTGAGTTTCTCAGCTATATTTTCCTGAGCGTAAACGCATGTTGAGTGGGTAGAGATGGTAGAACAGAGTTGAAATAAGATTTTGTGAGCCTTCATTTCTTGGATCATTTGCAGACAGATGAGCCTCCTTGTCGATAGTTTGCATGTTGTTCTACCGCGTGCTCCGTGGTTGAGCACTGAGCCGTTAGAGCCCAGCAGCCCAGGCACTGGACTCAGCTAACCCAGTCCTGTCCAGATGCTCTGTGCACCACACAGAGTGATTACGGGCAGCTTGGTGTCAGATAACAGGGGACACTGTGGATTCCAGAGGCTGGGAGCCTGCCTCCCCATCGAAAAGAAGTCAAATTCAGATGCTTCTGTCATCTGTGCTTCCCAAACAAAGCGAAAATGTGAGTCCGGCTTAGTTGGTAGGCAGCTAGCCTTCAGCCTCTATCCACGCGTCGTGCTTGTCTGTGGTTACTGTTACGTCCTTGAGGTAGAAGGTGAGTGAATGGCTAAGCCCTAAGCTATCTAAGAAGGCCAAGATGTTCAAGTCAGAGCTTGCTGTCTCCCTTACCTTCCAGACTCCACTGATGCCTCTCCTTTCCAAACTTGACGTTCTCCACAGCCTGGGCCACAGCTTCCTTGAGTTGCAGTTCGGAAACCTGGAAATATGAGTCACCTGCTCAAGTAAAACAGCAGAAATGTGCGCATCGGGCTTTGTCATTCTTGTCATCATCGTCGTTGTCAACATCGTGACCATCGTCTTCCTCATCACCATCGTCGTCATCATCATCATGGTCATCATCATCATCCCGATCATTGTATGATCTTCATCACCATCACCATCACCGTCAGCCCATCACCATCGTCGTCACCATCACCATCACCATCGTCGTCACCATCACCATCGTCACCATCACCATCACCATCATCACCATCACCATCGTCGTCACCATCACCATCGTCATCATCACCATCACCATCGTCATCATCACCATCACCATCGTCATCACCATCACCATCGTCACCATCACCATCACCATCGTCGTCACCATCACCATCGTC